GGCCCCAGGTGTATATCAGTATGTAGTGTCTCTACTTTAAAGAGTCCTCTCCTGCTGATGTTCAGGTGTATATCAGTATGTAGTGTCTCTACTTTAAAGAGTCCTCTCCTGCTGATGTTCAGGTGTATATCAGTATGTAGTGTCTCTACTTTAAAGAGTCCTCTCCTGCTGATGTTCAGGTGTATATCAGTATGTAGTGTCTCTACTTTAAAGAGTCCTCTCCTGCTGATGTTCAGGTGTATATCAGTATGTAGTGTCTCTACTTTAAAGAGTCCTCTCCTGCTGATGTTCAGGTGTATATCAGTATGTAGTGTCTCTACTTTAAAGAGTCCTCTCCTGCTCATGTTCAGGTGTATATCAATATGTAGTGTCTCTACTTTAAAGAGTCCTCTCCTGCTGATGTTCAGGTGTATATCAGTATGTAGTGTCTCTACTTTAAAGAGTTCTCTCCTGCTGATGTTCAGGTGTATATCAGTATGTAGTGTCTCTACTTTAAAGAGTCCTCTCCTGCTGATGTTCAGGTGTATATCAGTATGTAGTGTCTCTACTTTAAAGAGTCCTCTCCTGCTGATGTTCAGGTGTATATCAGTATGTAGTGTCTCTACTGTGACATGTCTCCATGCTTTAATATTCAAAACGCTCTTTATTTCTCTCATACTGCCTGTGCTGCAGCACCTCTTTTCACCCTCTGTCTGAAACCAGAGTCCAGTCTGGTCTGATTGGTTAGCTGGCCGGCTCTGTTTTGAGTGGTCAACCAGCTTAGAGCTATTTCTGCCCCCATTAGCGTATCACGTACAATGTGTTGGAACGGTTGTCAATAGAAGCGCCCAGTGTTCCATAGTGATGTCACTATGTTCCGGAAATTTTGGATTTTATCTTTGTCAATCCATTTACATGCACTTAAAACTATAGAACACAATACAGTAAAGGGAAACCCCCAAAAAAGGAGAACATGGCCTCTTTAAGATTAGAGTTCGTGGTTATAGAATATGTGTCATAAAGCAAAAGTCATCACATAGACACGATTTAAAATATAAATAGTGTGTGTGTGTGTGTGTGTCTGTGTCTCTGTGTCTGTGTGTGTACGTGTGCATGTGCTGCGTGAGTGTGAGTGTGTGTGTGTTTGTGTGTACCTGAAACTCCTCTCTGATGGGCGAGGTGTTGCTCTGCGTGTCGACCTTCAGCATCTCCTTGTAGGTCAGAGCGAACTCGTTCACGGGGATGGCCGTCTCTCCGCACAGACACGCCTCCAGGATGGCGTCATGGATGAACACGTACTGCTCCTGAGAGACAGCGCGCAGGGAAAAACATACATTTACCCACAAGCCTTTGCTGCACTTATGAGCCTCCTAACCGTTAATTGCCCACTTGCACAATGCAGAATTTAATTACTGCTGTCGAATGTTGACTAATAGTCACAAGTGTCAAACGTTCTCAAAATCTCCATGCCCACTCGCAGGCATTGTCCATCATGTCTATAAATGGGGTAAAAAGTGGTGAAATCACAAATAAGAGGAGCACAAACACTGCCCACACACACTCGTTAAATCCCGTCACGAGCGCTGCAATTAACGAGGACATTTGTTTTGACACCCAACCAAACAAAAGATCAAAGAGGCGAGCGTGCATTCAAATTACCAGCCATAAAACTGTTCAACTTATTTATCATTTTTAATGTGTTTTGTAATTGCTAAAGTATTTATTCAACGGGTGGACAAGCTTCAGCTGAAAAGGTAAAATAAATATAATTCTTTTGGTATTTACTGCTCTTTCTCCACTTCACACTTTACGAGAGGGCGATTTACTGAAATGTTCTCAAACTTTAAATAATGAATGGCTTTTTCTGAGTTGTTTACTTGAAAATTGGACACAGTTTGAGAAGAATAACACACATAAACACACAATTAGCTTTTGTCAAGTTAGTGGAAAATAATATATTACACTTACAGTAACAGCTTTCAAAACCTCTAATATTTACCCTCCAATGTGTGTGGCTTGTAGACAAGAACAAGTATGGGAACCCTTTGGACTTTCCTGGTTTTAAGGTGAATTGAGCTTTAAATCTGATGTTCAAGCTTGGAAATATGGTAAAAGCTGATTAAGCAACAATGGGGATATACTTCCGCCCCGACCTGGAGGGGATTTGGGTTGAAAAATGTAAAACTCAACCGATTTTCTTAAACAGAAACACATTAAACATTTGTGTAAACATTACCATATGTTCTGGCAGTGCCCTGTGATCCTGAACTACCGTAAACAAGTCAAGTCTTTTATTGAAATGAGACTTAAAGTGATGATTCCATTTAACTTTGAGACACTACCTGGGCCTGAGACGAGACACCATCAAGGGATTTGCAAACTAATATATGTTCAATGTCTTAAAGGTCCCCTATCATACTGTTTTTCATCAATATATTTCAGGTCTCAGATATATACAGAACATGTCTCTGAAGTGTTTGGCTCCAAACACCAAACAGATCATTGCAGCATTACCCATAATCCCCTCTGTTTCAGCCCTGTTTCCAAAGTGCTGATTCTCTGTCTGTTACTTTAGATGAAAATAAGGAGCCCCTCCCCACGCCCCTCTGAGAGAGATTTGGTTAAAAAGAACACAATGGTGCTCTAGGAGGAGGTTCAGGTGATAAGGGGGGGGGGGTTACCTTGGTTGGTGATTGGCTAATGGTTAAACAAGCCAACACATCGTTATGACATCATAAAGTGGCCAAAATCTGATCAGCTCATTTTCAGACAGGTTTTTATAGAAATGGATCAAAAAGAGAGAGAATCTTTGTTCCTGAAACTTTCAGAGTCTCTTTCCACAGAAGGGACACATGTTGATGTAGAAGAGACATGGAAAAGTGGATTTTGCATAATAGGTGACCTTAAAGTAAAAAAGCACTCACCTCGGTCTGGATCATGTTGATGCGTCGGGAGCAGAGGGTCTTCACACAGTTGTAGATGTCCACCACCCCCTCACACTCGGCCATATCCAGCATGACGTCCAGAACGATGTAGCAGCCGGTCCGACCCGCCCCCATGCTGTGAGGAGAAAGAACAACACACAAGCATCAGTATACAGAGGACATACAAAAAAGAAATGGTGAAGAGAAAGCAAAGAAAGAAAATGAATACTGTGACCACTGCCCAAGGGCACACA